TTTTTTTTTTTTTTTTTGTACTGGCGATCAAACCTCAGGACCTTGCTGCTGAGCTATCTCCTCAGCCCCAAACAAACTATTCTAATCTTTCCAAAGGACGACACCATGTTCATGGACTCAAATGCTGTTTAAAAAGAAGCTCTAATACACATGTATATTATGTGTATGTTTCAAGATCCATTTCTATGTCTATGCCACATATAAATTATAGCCCACATATTTTTCTCAACTGGATATAAAGGTCCCCTATAATGATTAACTCTCTGTAATAAACTGACTTGCTGGGACATTTTCCTCTGGAATTTTTGCTATCTCTGGCATGACATGTAATGGAGTTCCCAAACAGTAGTTCTCTTTATCCCCAGGGAGTATCAGTAATGTTGAATCTTATTTTTAGAGTTTGTGAAGATACAAATAGCGCACTGTGACACGTGTGCCATAGGTCTGCCACCGCTGCAGGATATCCTCCAAAAGTTCCAGTGGACTACTCTCAGCCTAAAACTGTAAATGCTACCAAAGCCTGTATATACTGTTCTTCCCCATACACACACACACCTATGATAAAATTTTACTTACAAAAGAGGCACTGTAAGAGGTGACCAACAATAATATAGTGGAACAATTATAATAATATAGTATAGTAAGTTATATGAACATGGTCTTTCCCTCTCAAAATATCTTACTCTCCTGTACTCATTTTTCCCATTATATGGTCTCAGATCAAGTTGACTGTAGGTAACTAAAGTTTTGGAAAGCAAAACTACTGACGAGGATCACTGTCCACAGATTTTCTAACATGGCTTACAGATAAGCACCTGCTCTTCTCAAGATGCTATGTTAAGTATTACACTGTTGAGTAGAGACAAAATAAAAAGATCTGACATATTTCCTAACTATAGAAAAGTGTTCTCTTTGCCTTCAAAACGACTGCATAATTCATTATACAGCTGTATTTCCAAAGTAGAATTAGAATAGCATATTACTGCAACCAAAAGGAGCAGACTACTAGAAATTTGAAAATGTAATTTTTCATGGGAATATGACAATGTAATTTTTCATGGAAATATATTTGAGGAGAAAACACAAGATGGGCTTTTCTTAAAGAGTTTCTATGCATAGGCTGAGACTCACATGTCACAGTCCCGAGAATGCTGCTTCCTCTTCCTTGGAGTAAAAGGTGCCATCTTCTTAACTGAACTCCTATAAGGAATAAATCATCAATTATAATAACCAAATTCATCAAATAGGTATGAAAGTCACTATCAAAATTATACCTTTAGGGGCCAGGGAGGTGGCTCAGTGGAATAAGCGCTTTCCTGGCAAGCGCAGGGTCCTGAGTTCAATCCCTGGTCCCCCCCAAAAAAATTTTAAAAAAAAATTATACTTTTAAAGTCTGAGGGCTGGTGAGATGGCTCAGTGTTCTAAAGCACCTACTTAGAACAAGCTTAGCAAAGCACAGGGACCATGGTTCAATCCCCCAGCACCACATGCCAGCCAGCCCCGCCCCCTGGTGGGCTGAGCTGGCCACACACACACACACACACACATAAATAAAATTTAAAAAAAATAAAAAAGTCTGAAAAGCTTTCAGATAAGTGATGTTCCATAAGAAAACAAGAAAAAATATTCTCAAAAAGCAAATTATTTTAACAAAGCCTTACACCATGCATTTAAGATAATACGACATACATCGCTGTAGCAAGTAACAAGAAATACAAGCTGCATGACTTTTATTTTTAACTGGAAAGGTATTATAGCAAGACGTAAGCCACCTGACCTCGGAGGGCTGCTGAAAATGATGAGTGTGCAAGTCCACTCGTTCCGAAGGCAAAGTCCGTCCCCTTCCCCTTATCAGGACCGCCCCCCCACCTTCCCCTGTCAGGTCAGTCGCGCAATTTCAAGGCAAGACAAGCAGAAGACCCGGGGTTCTTGAAGGGAAGACCTCCTGGGGCGGAGCGGGGCGAGGTAGGAGAGAAAAGCGCCAGGGTCCCCGGTCCCCAAATCTGTGAGGGTAACGCGACGGGAAAATACTGGCGCGGGGACCGGGAAACCCGGCGCCCTCTGCACGGAGAGCCGCTGTGTGGCCTCGGTCCCGAGCCCGCCAACCCACCAAGTCCACAGCAAAGACTTTTCTGTGACACTCACCCCTCACTCTACTAATATCCGCGTCCCCTCGGTTTTTCACTGCCAGCTGGGGGCTCTCAAGGAAAACCTGCGCCTCAGCGTCCCTGGACCGCTCCTCAGCCGGGCAAGCGCTCCCGTATTCAAATTAACGCGCGCCAGAAGCGGCTGGCGTTACTGCGTTCCGATTCGTCGCTCCGCAGCGCTTCCACGGTCTGCCTTAGTGATTGGTCACTCCCTAACCCTCGCCCCTCCCATCCAGGAGGTTGTCCGCAACCTTCTCCCGCCCTTGAGAGGCAAAACAGCTCCTCCCTCACGGAAACTACGCCCTCACTTACTCTCAGGCGGCAAAGCCGAACTCCTTTTTCCCGGCCTTGTTAAGATGCATTCTGGGAAAAAAGATGCATTCTGGGAATTGTAGTTTTCTGTTCAGGCGAACGCGATGTCAAATTCTGGGTCACGTGGTGTAAGAAGCCTTTGTAATCGCTCCAGATTCTCCAGGCACTTATTTAAGTTTGATCGTTATCTTCGCATTTTTTTTTTTTTTTCCGGAACCGGGCCCTTGATTGAACTCAAACTCTTGCACTTGCCAGGGAAGCGCTTATTCTACTGAGCCATCTCCCCGGCTCCCACCTTTTTAAAAATTAGTAATACTTCATTGTTTATACCTTTTTATTCAAGTTAAATTGAAAAAAAATTAAATCAGGGGATGAGCATCTCCTATCTCCAAAGTGTTACATGTTTTAGCCAGGGATACAGCTCAATGGCCTAAATGCCTGCTTGGCAAGCACAAGGTCTTGGGTTTGAGTCCTAGCACCACAAAACACACATACAAAAAGCCATACATACATGTTTTATTTCAATTTCTCCCCTCCACAACTTATGAGATATGTATTATTATTCACACTTCACAGAAAATAGAGGCCAGGGAGATGGGGATTGGGGGAAGCAAGGAGGAAAAGTATGAAGATGTGTTATGTATGTGCACCATCTCCTCACAATGAATGCAACCTTGTAGTACAAAAGTACTAATAAAAATTTTATAACATAAAAAAACCAGAAGGCCTGAAAAGAATCACTATTTAAGGTGCAGGGCTATGTTCTTGCTTTGAAAAAAAGGAAGGTTCTCGAAACACTCGTCTGTTATTAGTTATTGTTATTGTCTTGAGTTATAAACTCCTGATAGTCTGAGCACACTTTTAGCTCTAAATAAAATAAACTTAGTTAAATGATCCACTCAAAAAAAAAGATCCACTCAACTTCACCAAACGAAGTTGGTAAGAATAAAGTGTCAAATGACAAAATTGCAGCAAATTTAGTTGTAGATCTTATTAGATTTTATTCATGATTTATGAATATGAGATGTATTCTTTAATACTAGACTTCAGAAAGAAAGCTCCCATTGGGCAGTAGCAGAATAGTGAGTTTTATAATTTGAAAACAAGGAAACAAAACACGGGGGAGAGGGTGCTTATTAACATCAAGTTACTTTTTCTTAGGATTAAAGTAGAGACAAATTCTTTATCATGCATACTCAGGTAGAGGAGGAACTTCCGTTTTCCAGGAAAGACTCCTCTAAGTTGGTATCTACCTACTTCCTTAAAACTTCAATTTGATTGTGTGGCCTTTGGCTTTTTTTCTTTTCTTTTTTTTTTGCGGGTTTTTTTTTTTTGGGGGGGGGACAGGGTCTCACTATGCAGTTCAGGCTGATCTTGAGCTCCCTAAGTAGCCCAGGCTGGTTTCGAACTTGCAATGTTCCTCCTGCTTCAGGTTCCCAAGTGCTGGGATTACCGGCTTGTGTAACCATGCCTGGCACTGTGGGCATTTTGGTTAGATTTTTTCTGGTCTGATCTCTTGAGGCCTAGGAAAAGAACTCAGCCTGAAACAATGGCTTGCCAGCGTTAATCCTGGCGTGCCATAGGTTGAGGCAGGAGAATCACTGTGAGTTCCAAGTGAGCCTAGGCTAC